GATAGGATGAGGCAAAAGAAAAACAAACAGGCTCAGCGCCCATAGTGGGAAGGACCAGGGAAACCGGGCAAGGCAGGTTTGCCCACATCCCTCGTGGGCTGGCCCAGCTGGACGGGTTTTTCCACAGCTAATCAGTAACGTGTTATCAAACCATCTCAGAGAGGGTGGTTCAGGCAGGAGGAGTTTGGGGCAGTCGGGCACAAGAGGTGAGGACTGGGTCATGGTGGTGCCTCTTTCAGCAGAGGACCCTGGCTAAGTGTGTAGCCTCCCAAATGCCACCTTCCTCTTCCCTAAAATAGGAAGAACACTACTGGAAACCTACTTGAGAGGGTTGTTAGGATTACATGAGCTCATTAAATAAGCTCACACGTAGCAAGTACTCAATAAAAGGAAGCTGTTAATTATTAATTACTGTCATTATTTGAGAGGCATATCAGAGCCATGCACCCTCAGAGCAGGCAGCAGCAGGATGCCTGCTTTTCAGGGGTCATGCTGGTCTTACGTTGTGGGCTGGATTCTTGGCAGAAGCAAGTCCCCATCCAAAGGGGAATGGATCCAGAAAGTAACTCCAATACCCAACTGGGTATCACAGCCTAGAGACTGCAAATGCTGGCATCTGTCTTTGCCCAGCCCAGGACAGACCTCTGCACAATTTTTTCTGGTTCTTTATCCCAACACTGACACTAACTTAAGAGACTATCAGCAGATGGAAGCCAGCACAGGACAATGTTACTGCAGAGCTGGAAGACGCCCTGGACTAGCCAGCTCAGCTCTCTGTCCCGGGGAACTGCAGCACCATTGATTGCTTTTAATCAGCAAACTTCACACCTCAAGGGCAGTGCGGTTGCCTGCCCACAAAAGAATCCTGAAGAGAGGAGAAAGTTCTGGCTGGTTGGGCGATATCCCAGAGATGTAAGTCATTTTCAACTCACCAGCCTAAAGGTATCAGCTTAGGAACACGCACGGAGAGAAAGTAGCTTGGGTCTTGGAGTATCAGCTCCCATCCCACTGTGAGTTCCCAGAGGGATGTGTGTTTCCTTGAGAGTTTATTGGGGAAATGTGACATAGAGGAGAGCAGGCTCTAGAGAGCACAGTTGAAGCATCAAATCGTGAATCCAGCCATGCGATCTGACCCTCCCTCAGTTTCTACATTGATTGGACAGACAGCAGTAAGAGCAGTGAGAGGACCTCGCTCATAGAAGCGCAGAGGGAACTGAAGCAGGGGCAGCAAACATTTGAGAAAACATGACACAGCGAGCACTGTTTCAGCCCTTTATGTGTATTCACATATACCATGCTCACTGGGAGGAAAGATTGGGAATATTCTCATGTATAGATGGGGAAAATTCAATAGCGTGGATGAGAAACGTGTCCAGGGTCACACAGCTAGCAGCTGACAGAGCCAGGGACTCTACTACACCATGAGCCCACCCTTTTTACCACGGTGATGAACTGCCTCTTGCACATGCGATAATATGAGGAAAATGCTCCTATCAGCGCTGAGTATGAAGACTTAGTTAATAAATGTTGACTGCCATCATTATATCATTAGTCCCTGGCACAGCCTATAGTACCTGCAAGCTCTCCTACCTACAGATTTTAAGAATTTAAAACAGTTTGGGTTCTGGCAAGTATCCAGTGTATGCTCTGGAATAGGTATGATGGTTTACATATTCCCTTTTGGCAAGATGCACAATTTAGCTTTATGAAAATATTTGTCATTTTCTTCAAAGGCCACTTGGAGAAAAGAAATAAATCCATCAGCATCAGCATGCATCAAACCTGGGTTCTATCACTCACTACCTGAGGGCCTCCTACCTTCTAAGGCTCATTGGCTTATTTCCAAAAACAGAGACAGTCAGCACGAACATTTAAATGAGATTATCCAAGGAATCTTCTTAGCACTTAGTAAGTTCTCAATAAAAGCCCACTGTCAATATTGTTATTATTCCCAGAACGGCCCAAGGAATCG